GTTTACTGATTACTACATAAGGACACATTGCAAAAAAACATTATTTTATTTTATTTAAACAAGCTATATATAGAGCATAGTATGCTCTTTAGCTAAACTAAAACTCTAAAGAGCATACTATATAGCTTGTTAAATAAAATAAAATAATGTTGTTGGGTTTACTGATTACTACATAAGGACACATTGCAAAAATAAATTTGGATAGGCAATATTGTGAAATTAATTTTTATATAGATGAAAATAGTTTTATATAAACATATATTGTGAAATAATAGATAAGGCAAAATTGTAAAATTAATTTAGGTTGGCATATCTGTATGGGTGGTACGCCTGGATGGTTTACCTGTATGGGTTACCTATATAGCATAAATAGGGTTAGCTCGCATTAGTTTCTAGTTTTAATCTTCCTCTTTGAAGATGATCACTTGGTGATCGAAACACGTGTCGAGGTGTTAAAAATAACGATTTGATGTTGGGAAAAAACTCCAGTAATATTCATTACTACACCAAATCCAAACAGTGCATCATAATTACAAACACTCTTGAAGTATACAGACAACACTGATATACTAGATGCTTTCATTCGGAAAACAATCCCTAGTACAAAACACATTTTGTTTATGAATCACAAAAAAAAAGGACATGATTGGTGAACAAAACGTGTTATGTTCAGTGATCGCTGTCAAAAAGAAGGCAAATTCAATTTTTTTTTTCAACTTGTTGAGAGTTTATAAAATTGGATATCAATTAGGCTCAGAGTATCGTTTTCATCCAGAGTGAAGAAATACATAAAATTGAAAGAATTATGTTTGGCAAACAGTGGCATCAGAAAAGTAAAAAATCTTTATATAGTATTTAGACAATCAGTTAAAAATGAAGTAAATAGAAGTAATAAAAAATGTTCAACAAGTTTTTATACTAGAACATCGAATTTAATTTGTTTTTTATGATCTGAATGAAAAGTATTAAGTTAAAAATCAAACTAATTCATTTAAGCCCGGCCTATGGTGAAAAGTATATCTTTTATTACTGTAAGTCCTTTGTTCACTTTTTGGTCTTCTGTACCTGGGTTGGAATCTGTCTTGCCTGTTAGTTATTCCTGCAGGTCTTATAATTTCTTGACATAACTGTTGATCCAACGCCTGAAAAATATTTTATGAAATTAAAGCAATATTTCATTTCAAATAGCTTCAATCAATTTGTTTGCTACATTATCATATCATCACCATATCAACATGGCGGCTAATGAATATGTTCTTGTCAGTAGTTTCAATAAAAATAACAATTCCATGTTCATCTATCGTAAAAAAAAACCATTAAATCAGGTTGCAGGTAGTCTGGTGTGATAATTTCTGTACCTGGAAAAGTATCCCAGTGTTCCCCTTCATAGCTAATTTGTTCATGAGCAAATTTGAATTGGAGTCAAACGAGGAGTTAGGTTACTTTTCATGGACTTGGATCCAATAAGATGGTGTATTTGTGATTTTTGACATAAACAAATATAAGTTAGAAGACTCAGTATCGATCCATGGCTGCTTCGCTTTTGAAAATTAACCCACTTGTTCAGAAGATATAGACCTTTGAAATCCACACAAAAAATTTCCAAAAGAATTCAAAAGTTAAATCAATATTTAATCAAAACCTATCTCATTAATCTTAATGTTGAAGATCAGATTTTTGCTTTTCATATGCATAGTATGTCTTGTGAATTGTAAAAAAAAAATTTAAAACTAATTTCATAACCTTTTAAATTCTCATATATGGTGGAAGTGACTGAACTTCATTTAAAAAATGAAGAATGTGAAAATCGGCTTACTAAGTGGTTTAACATAATTTGGTACTTCGACAGATATCTAATTGGAAAAAAATGCGAAACAGGAGCGGTATTGGCTCAAATTCAATGGACAGTAAGCTCAGTACAAGAAAATTGGCCACTGAAACACGTGTGGGTCGTACAAGTCAGCAAATATTTAAATAAATCTATCCATTTAGAGTTGATCAGTGCAAGAACTAAACAAAGATGACATCAGTTGTGTCATGAATTTTGCAAAATAAATAATGGATGTGGGGAAAAGCCAATTTTCTATTTAATGTGTTTTTTCGAATAAGTAACCGTCTTTACTGGGCTGATACTCCCTGTGTTATTCACACAGTACACAAACAAAATTGTCCAAGTTGAACTTGAGAGGCCTGTTATTTTTGCTCACTTAAAAGTAACTGGATAAAACAAAGAGGTGTAATTGAGTGGCCTCCTCGGTCACCATTCTCAAATCCTTCGAGAGTTTTTCTGTCACATCAACAGAAATTCAGAATCTGAACCTTTTCTCAATCCATATGTACCAAAATAATTCTGAGATCATGAATTATTAATGAAATGAACGAGGATAATATAGTTTATTGAATTGGAAGATTCTGAAAGATTGTCTATCCTTGTTTGTTAACCAATCAGTATAACTGATGTGTGGGAATTTATACAGTTAAGTCCTAAAGTAACTAATATTATCTATTTTCTACATAATTATGAATGCAAATGAAAAATCCTGAAACAGGTCAATTTTTAAATATGATGATATACTTTCTTGATAAAATTATTCAACTGTGACATTTACGCACCAAAAGATCCGAAGTTATTTTTTTGACAACAGAATAACTGATAGACTAGTGGATCGTGATATGTATGTAACTCAAGAGTTGTATGATGTACGAAATAAAATAAGTACCCAAGTCCAAAAATCAAAAAGTGCTATATTTTTTTATATTTATTCAATATTGCTGAATACATAATTGAAAACCCTTTTAAACTCGGTATCACCGCTACCTCTTTTCATTTGAAATTTTTACAGGGGAAGCTAGTATCTCTAGGGGGTTGAAGGAGTTGAATGATTTTATTGAGAGAGTGTAATTTTATAAATAAAAATTTTACATTTTTTCATTTGCATTCATAATTACATAGAAAATGAATTTATCTGTTAGTTCAGGACATCACTGTGTATCCCAACAATCAACAACCAACAAAAAATACTAACGGTGTCAGATATATGTCCTAATTTCTGGAAAGTTTGCTCAATTCTGTTGAATTCAAGAGCCAGATCAGGATTATCTATCTTCAATACAGCATTCTTTACTTTTTCTAATACTTCTCTATTAAAAGTCTGCTTCACAGGATTGGGATTATCTTCTGATAATACGCCCTTCAATATTGGAATTGCATTTTCAACTCGTCCAACCTCTGCTAAACAAGCAACCTATGAACACAAATATTGCAAAATGTTTAAATTGTTTCATAATGGTTGATTTGAATTTTGAATAAATATAAAGGTTTGTAAATATTTACATTTTTCTGAGAAAATGAATATAACATTCAAGAGGAAGTTCAATTATACCCTTTTTGTTCAACATTAGCAATTTTTAATGAATACATATAAATTCACTACCATTTCACAATATATTCAAAAAAATAGGCTTGATATGATTTTTGTAGGTTGCGTTTTATATCCTGAACTTGTATTATATGATGTATGACACGAAATAGTTGCCATCGTCAATTCAACAAGTTTGATTCAAGTAATTATTACTCACTTTCCTTCGTTAAGAAAAAAAGTCAAAATTATTTACTGAATGAAACATCATTAAAAAAATAAATTAGATTTCCATCATATATGAAACTTAATATGAGATGATCTAGTGAAAATATCTTCATGAATTATCCATGATGAAAGGTATAGAACTTTCACAATAAATTTTATTTAATATGTGTTTCGTTACATGGTAGCTTCATCAGTTGGACTGGTACATCAAACTATTCTATTAGTCACTCCTAGAAATATAACCCTTTTGAATTATTCTACAATGTCTTTTATATAACTGTAAGTGATTGATTTTATGGAAACAAGTGTAATGATGGTGATTGAATAACTTCTTGTTGGTCGTTTATTAAAAATTTTAATTTTTGCGATGATTGATTTCCAGATATTCCAGCAGGTTTAATTTTTGTTATGTTATATGCCAGTTTATGTTTGAGGTTTCTGTCTGGGGTTGTGAATTTGAGTGTAATTTCGGTTTTGATAACTGAAATTTCTAGTTTTTATGCTGAATCAGGTGTTTTGATGTTACGTTTTAAACCTTTATTAGGTAATTCAATTTTCATTTTGGAGTACTGTGTGTCAATTAGTTTAACGAATCTATTAAAAAACTGGTGATCTGAAAATTGTGTGGTGGGTTTATTTAATGGTTTAGATTTAGTGAGTATTTGATTTACGTTTTTGAGTAATGATTTTTTTGTGACTGATACTAACCTTTTCTCTAATGTTAGTATCAAAAATATCAAATTCAATGGAATGTAATCTGTCAGTTAGTTCTGTATGTATTATTTTCAAATAGACGTTTAGAATGTCTCTTGGTAGAGCATACTTTCTTTTATTCTTGGGGCCATTTCTTTTGTCAATACTGGATATATGTTCTTGCTGGAAGGTTCTTGTTATCCGTAATAAGTTTTATACATTTTTAAGCACACTTGTTAAAAAAAGCACAGACTTTCGTTCACTGTTGTACATCATAGAAATAGTTTGAAATATCAAAAGGCCTAAGAATTTGTTAAAGCTAGTTTCAAAATCTACCTGTTTTATTAGAATTATTCACTCATCTGAATAGTTTTTTAATTACTTATTTTTATATAGAAAACATTGTGGAATAGTTTGATTTACCTGTCCAACTGATTAATCTAGAGAAATGTATCCTAAATAAAATTTTATCTTTTTGGGAAAGAAAGGTTTTGACTTTCTACTTCTCCATCTTGATTCGAAAAATGTGGAAATCTTACAAATAAATGAAGAAAGCAATCAATTTCACGAACTAACTATATACAAAGATGTGTAGATCATGCAAAGAGGTAACTTTCAGACACAAATTAGAAAGAAAAGCCCTCTCGAAACAGCTATTTTCATATAAACATTGAATTACACAAGATGGCTTTTTCTTCCAGTTTGTGTCTGAAAGTTACCTCTTTGCATGATCTACACATTTTTGTATATACCAACATAGTTAATTTTTGAAATTGAGCTTCCTTCCTTCCTTTGTAAGATTCCCACATTTTTGTATCAAGGTGGAGAAATAAAAGGCCAAAACTTATTTCCCTAAAAATTATAATCATGGATATTGTTGTTAATTTTCATTCAAAGTGATAAGTCAGTGTACTCATATCTTTATATCATATCATGTTCATAGCCTGCATAAAGAATATCAATTGAAACAACAGCACAAACTCATAGTAAATTGTTCATCAGTACTTATAACCAAAAATAGTTAATAGCAATTCACTCACTTTCAAATTCCTCACAGTTGTATAATTTTGATTTTGAGCAGAAGTGAGAACTTCAAGAGCTACTCCAGGATTTCCTTGGTTCAGAGCTAGACCAGCACAGAAGGTAGTGGCTCTTCTCAAGGGATAGTGACCAATTTCTTTGAGTTCCTGCCACAATCTCAAAGCATAATCCAAACTCTCTTTTGAATTCTGAAATATTCATTTCCATTTTTAGGGTACAAACATTTCTGCATACTTACCATTTTATAACAGGCTGCCATTACTAATACAACAATATTCCTTGGGTGTTTGATTCCCTCTAGTTGACGATCTTTAATAATATCAGCACATTCTATAATTTCTTGATATTTTTCGTTGTCATAAAGAAGATCCAATAAAATCTGATAGGAAACTAATTGGTCAAAAAACCCTGAAAGGTCAGGTGATTTGAAACACTGAAAAATATATTTCAATTATTAATGTAATTACATTATGAACTACCTTACTTCTAGTGCAATATCAGGTGCATTGAAATGATGGAAAAGACGCATTGCAACTGGTCCAAATATGAAACTTCCAAATCTCAACTCTTTATTTTGTTGATTGAATCTAAAACAAATATCCAAAACTGTTGTGGATTCATGTATCAGTTCAAAATCAGAAGTTACAAGTACTCAGCTGGTTTTCAGTATCTTTTGATGAATGTAGAGCAATAGTAAATATTACTATTAGAATGACGGGTAACTGCCCAAGAAATCTGATGTCAAAATTTTCACAAAAGATTGTATCTCAAAATATATTAGATATGAAGTTGCAGTGATGAGTTGTAGGGACCATTATTATAAATATTTTTTCAGCTTCTCTGAGGAATACATACTTGAAGAATGCTTGGAACACATTCAATTCAAGGAGCTTTTTGATATAAAGGCAGGTTTTTTCATCATGTGGTATCATTGCTATATTCTAAGCTGTAACAAATGTGAAAACGACTGAATAGGAAAAAAGTCATCTATCGTAGAGAACAGTACAATGATCAAAGAAAATTTACAGGAACTTTTGTCCTTCTCAAGTTATACAGGGAAAACTAGAAATACTGTTTTTGTACAGTAGAATTGTTATTTCAAAAAATAAAAAATAGATGCAAAATAAACTTTTCATTGAACGTTTTGTGTTAAAAAAGTTTTATTGTTACATTTATGTTTTATTGTTTATAGTACGAATTGCCAAACTAACTGACTGTTATAAGAAAACAAGTATAGCTGAGGCACCAGTCAATCTAATAATAACACTGATGATCTTCAAACATGACTCAACCTCTGACGTAAGCACCAAACTCTTACGAAGGTTCGAAATAGATGAACACTTCAATCTAGCAGACCACTATTATAATATTCATGCAGTCATTGTTTACTGTGGTTCTAGCGTTGAATTTGGTCTTCATTACACCTTTCTCAAAGACGAAACGGACTGGTTTAAATTTGACGATAGTCATGTCCCGAAGTATTCTGGCGATGTATTGAATTTATTAGAGCCTCTGGAGACACCCTACATTTTGTTTTATGAGAGAGAAGACATTGGTAGATCAAGATCTTCAGATAATGTGGTGTTGCAGGTTTTTCTGGGTTTTCCTACAGCTGAAAAAGCAAATGCGATACTAGAATCAATGAAGTTGCTCCGGAGCGCCAATCAATTTTTATTGTTGTTTTATAATTTCATGATTTATAATGAATTGAAAAACTTTTATCTAATTAAATAATATAATTAAAATTTCCTTTCCCATTTTTTATATTTTTTGAAATAACAACTTTATTCATAAAAAAAAAACATTTTTAGTTTCACCTTTATAATTCAAGATGGCTGAAAGTCGCTGTAAATTTTCATTGACCATTGTACTGTTCTCCACGATAGATGCCTTTTTTCCCATTTAATCGCCTTCATATCTGTTATAGTTCGGTTCGTAGCAATGTTACCACAAGATAAAAGAAACAGCCTATATAATTGGTGTTGGTAGTTAATAAATTTACTTGGCAGTCATCAATATATGTGAAACTTTGAAACCATACTTTTTTGCTTGTATAGTATAGGGCCATGTCTCTTTGTATACAAATAGTTACTTCATTTTACAATATTAGTATAGACATGCCTGAAGAAGCTATTGTATTGCGAAACATGTGTTGCGTTTTTGTAAAACTGTTTAGTAAAAATCTCACGATAAAGGGTTTCTCAAATGTTTTGGATTTTCATCAAGTATCAGCCGATTCCCTTACATAGATATTAGTAGTTATCAAAGTAGACCAAAATTATTGGTAAGCAGCATAATTGATCAATTCATTCTGAATGAAACTAGAAAGATCATTCATAAATAAAAATGGTGACTTGCAGTTTGAAAACTTAATAGGAAGACTCGACACGAAACATGAATCCAAATTAACAATACCAAAGTATAAAAAATATAATAATAATAAAGCTAACTTTTTGATCATTTTGACCACTAGTTCGAGATCTTTATCATTATTCGACAAATGAATCATATTTTTCAGGTCTTCAGTAAAAACCATGTGCTTGGTATGGTTTTCTACATATTCAGACATTTTTTCTTTGAATTTTTCAGACAGATTCTCCATTTGATTTTGAGTAGTTTGACACTGCTGTAAAAATGCATCGATTCCTAATGTCTCTTTAGAATATAAATTTCTTTTATCTGAAAATAAAAAATTATAATATTTCCAACATTACATAACCTCAACTTACGCGGTATTGCTGCTATCGTAAACAAATTACTGTTCATTTTAGATGTATTGAAAACTACTGAAAAATTACAATTTTTCAAAGTGGAATATATCCTATTTGCCATCATTATTTTAGTTCAAAAATGTTATTTAATTCAAAATCTCTTATATCTTTTATAAGTTATAAATCAAACTGACATATGACATATGACCCATAGAATAACTATCACAATAACTATAGGTTTATAGGTTTGTTCTGGTTCTGCGAAATTCAGGTTCTTGGACATCATGATCATGCGCAGTTGATATAGAGCCTTCTGGTTTATTGAGGATAATTTCGGATGGAAGAATCCTCTGTTCTGGTTTTGACTACGAAATAATCCTCAACTGTTTTGAATTGTCCCGAATCGTTCTTGCTCTCGAGGATGAACTGTTGAGAACTGTTCCCGTTGCTCATGCGCATTCATGTGGAAATTTGTTTGGGGTATTTGCTAGGATGTTTTTTTATTTATTTGATTTGAATAATTGATGATTGAGGGTAGATAACATTTGAGCTGACTATAGGGATACGCTACATAACAAAATGGACATGATTAATAGTATTTTCTCGTCCTCATCTCTTCATATATACGATAGGTGGCACAGTGGTCTCCTCAAAAGCGTTCTGGTTTAAACAAATGTCCGAGACTATTTCGGACTGTTTGAGATTTTTTGTTTGTACGCACCATGTCTTGCACAGTTTCTAAACGTTTTGGGATGTTAGAACCAGACAAACCTTATTCTGTGTGCCCATAATAACAAAAGAAAAAGTGAGGGAATGATTGTGTCTACCGGCCTCAGTGGCAGATCTAATGGGGGGACACAGGAGCACGTGCCCTCCCCGAGGATTGAAAGTGCACTAGATACAATTTGGTGAAAGAAATTTTATGATTGGGAAAGAAAAGTCAGACCGATATAGATTGGTGTAACCTAATATATAAATAAAGCTTAACTGTTTTTATACATTACAGAATATTAATTACACTTTTTGACTCACTCCGCCCAACTTCATTCTTGATCAATCTCATTACTGTAGTTATGTGTGATATTTCTGCCAAGAGCAGTAGTAGCGCAATGAGATCGAGAGGAGTTTCACTATAGTTGTACCGTTGAATTTATGGCGCAAGAATTTTGTTCTGATCATTGTGAAAAAGTAAAAAGTGTCTGTAGTTGAATCTTGTGGTTTTATGCTGATACGAGATGATATGAGTGGTAGTGGAAGGAAAAAAAGGCAAGCAGGCCTTCAATAATTTTTTTAAAGAAACCAATGGCAAACATGACCACATATTCTCAAATCAAAATGGAATCAAAATGGAAGTTGAAAATTTTCCAGGATTTTGCTGGATATTTTATAGGAAAATGGTCGTCTTTTCAGTTGTTTAGACAGGAAAATCAGGATTTTCTCAAAGAAGCATCGATAAAGTTCATCAGCAGCTTTCGTTTAAGATTACGACCGCGTTTCTAGCGTGCGTCGTTCAGATTTCATACATGTTTCATTCCGATTTTACGGCTGAAAATATACCTGAAAGATCAATCACACTTTCAAACTCATTTTTCAGCTAAACCGCCTGGGAATATCGTCTCATGGCATTGCACTTTCATTCTCAGGACGTCGTCATTTATATGAAACCGAAAAAAAAAATTCGGAAAATGGAAGTTGAAAATTTTCCAGAATTTTGCTGGATATTTTATGAGAAAATTGCTTTTTCAGTTATTGAGACAGAAAAATCGGGCTTTTCTCAAAGAAGCATCGATAGAGTGATCAGCAACTTTTGTTCAAGAATGCGACCGCGTTTCTAGCGTCCGTCGTTCAGATTTTATTCATGCTTCGTTCGGATTGTACAGCTGAAAATATACCTAAGATATCACACTTTCAAACTCATTCAATCTCAGAAATAACTTCATGAATTGTTGGATGTCATTCAAGGTAAAACTCAAAACACCACCTCAAAGTCACCTTGCCTGCGTGGTGACTCATTTCAGCAAAGGCATATGATATTGCAAAAGGCTATTCAAAGTCAAACTGGAAACGCACTCCAAAAGCCTTTTCGTCCATACAGCTGAAAGTGGTTCAATGTCGAAACCTTAAATCTCCGAAATAGCCGGGTAAATCAATGAAGATCATTCAATGTCAAAATCAAAACATTACCCCAAAATCACTTTCTTGGCGTCGTATGTCGTGGGTCAAGGTCACTCAAGGTCAAATTCAAGACACCCCCTCAAAGTCACCTTGGCTACTTATTGTGACGTATGTGTAAGGTAGACAACCAAGTATACACCCTTGGTTAAAGGAAGGTAGCGTTGACGTTGCTGACAACTAAATATAAGCAGTTAGGTGACAACGCCCCAAGACTTGTAACACTTGTAAGGTTAGAGTTGCCATAATTAATAGTTCATACACAGCCAGTTCATGTATCATTATTTTATTATAACCACTAGAAATTTATAAAACATGATGTCAGGTGTGATTCTAGTGACTAGTTAGCTAGAAATCTTGCTTAAGTGACTTGAAACGAATACGTTCATCAACCTTCAAACAATCAAACAAAAAATGGAGAGCTTTTTTATTTTAGACCGCCAAAGCCCCTTGTCGTAAATGGAAATGTAGCTGATAACTGGAAGCGTTTCAGTCAAAAGTTTGACGTATTTCTAACAGCTTCAGGTTTGAGTGGAAAACCAGCAGAAATACAGGTAGCAGTCTTCCTTAACTTGATAGGGGATGATGGCCTAGAAGTTTATAGCATATGTCAAAAAGAAGGACAGACGTTCGACAGTTTCTTAACTGAGCTAAGAGAAGCTGTAAAAACCACAGGCTATCAGGATCAAGATGATATGATAAGAGACCGGATAGTCACAGGAATCCTTGACAAAAATACGCAAGAAAGATTACTTA